GATCAGACTGCCGTTCGTCACAGTGGTTCTGGAAAACCATCTCTTGTATTATTTTACAGTTATTAAATATTTTCAATACGAAATAGTCTTATGAATATATAGTGTATAAAGTATAAGAGTTAATCAAATGACTATATGCTATAAAAAGTACTTTAGTATAAATAACTTGATAAGTGTAAATATTTTAACATATTATAAATTCGGCTAAATAATTCTTATCGAAATATATTTATTTTATACGAATTAAACTAATTTCATTAATTATTCTTTTATATATTAATCTTCTTTTCAAATAAAAACCAATTTTCTAAAAGAAAGCTTATTTTAATTTAAGAAATTTAATTTTAATATAAGAATAAATGTATAAAAGTGTTTGCTGCAATGCCCTAACTGGCCTATAATAATAGCACTAGTATAAAGATGCTACAGTAAACTATGCACTTGTAGCAGGGCGGAGCGGAAGCGGTAGGAAGTGTCATAGGTTGACATTGGCTATATAGTGTGCATTCCGAGTTCTGCCTTGCAAGCAGAACATCGTCCTATCTTTTGTAGGTTTGGCCGTCTGGGCATATGCACCTCAGCCTGTCATACATTTTGTTCGGAAGGAATTTCCGTATTAAACGATATTTAATTAGCTGAAGACTAAATTTACTTGAATATTACTAAAACCTTAATAAAGAATTTATTACAATTGATTGTATTATAAGAGATAAAACGGATAAGAATTATATTACTATAATTAATAGTTTAAAAGACTATCATTTAAATAATAAAGACGTTGCTGCTTTTCTTTAGCCGGGATACTTTTCTTTTATAGTTAATGAATTGATTTGTATATACTACCCAAACGGGGCAAAAACTTTATATATTTCCTATAATTGTATTTACATCATTTTCAAATTAATATACGACGGAAAATACTACTTTAGCAAAAAGTAAATATTTTATAAAATAATACGTATGTAATTACCCGTTTATTAATTTTAATTAAGTGAATTAAATAGTTCTAATTAGTAAATTCCAATCAATTCATTCTAAATTCAAAAATACTTTACTTACACGTATTATAACTATTATCTTTATCATTGAGCTCCCTTAAATACCTTCCAAAAATTCCCCTTGAAAATTCTAAAATATAATATTCTCAATTTATTTATAGCAGTAACTGATATTGTTTCTAAGTAAACGCTACTAGTACCTAGCTATTCTACTTAAATCATTAAAATAGGAAATAATAATTGTATAATTGTTAATTTCAAGCAATTAATAATTCTCATTAGAAATTATATCGAATTGTAATAGAAAGCATATTTCTTATTTTTAATAAAGAATACAGAAAGCCTTAGGTACTAAACTACTAATGATTATAGTATACTACTGTCACAGGGGTAGCCTGTGTCGTTGCACGTGATTGGTTACGTGCCTTGTGCCAGCGCACAGCAGCTTCTGAGACTGCTGTCGCTGTCAGTAGGCTGGCTATGACGGCTCCCAGCCATGGACCCACAATTGAGCCCACAGCTGGACTGCCCTCATAAGGCCAGCCTTCTAAGTACTTGTCTGCACTCTCTTCCTTTCTCCTTCGTGCAATTACGCATATTCACATCTACCATCGACCCTTTGCCCGTGATAACTACTCCTAAGAAAATAGCATATCGGAAAGTAAAAATTGAAGTATCGAAATTGCAATCTAATTTTAATATTTAATTATCAACACGGCGTCATTGCAATAGAGAAGCGGAGGGTTTTCATCCGGCTATGGTACGGTTTTTCCTACCGACTAAGAACGGAAGCAGCACCGCATACTCACTAGGTAGACTATGTAAATAGTTTAGCGTGATAAGATAATAAATAAATAAGTATTTAATTAGTCTAACAAGTTAAAACTATTGCTAATTCTATCTCTCTAATAGAGATGATAGCTCAGTTAGGAAGATTTGAGCTTGGTTTACCTTCGGTGTCATCTGAAAGGTCATAGGTTTGGATCATGCTCTTCTCACTTCTATCCGGTTTTTAAAAAAATCAAAAAAATCGGATGGATTCTCCCCCACTTTTCTAGTTATAAGAGACTGATACGGGAATCGTGGGATTTACACTCAATACAGAGGGTCATGAGAGTGAGGCCATATTGTGTGTAAATAAAGGGTAATGAAGAGATTCTCTTTAAAGAAAGGCCTGGCTTCCAGCCAGCCGTCTGCCCGCAGTAGATATGCAGTGCAGCGAGCTAGGTAGCCCGAGCGCTGGGCAACGGCTGGGCAGGCACCGGAGCCTCCATGGCAGCCCAGCTAATCTGGGCTGTCATAACTAGTCTAAGCTATAAAACAAAATATGGCCAACGATACCAGAAATCCAGGGATTCCAGTATCAGAGACGTTAAAGATGATGTCGAGCTCACTCTAGTTCTTAGCTTACCCATGAATACACGTGACTAGGCACGTGTAGAAAATCTCTTCCTTGAGCTTAGTAATAAATCGCTATCTCTCTCATCCAAAATCCTGGCCTCACAACGTCTTACAGGCAGCTGACTAGCCAATTGGCGAAGAAATCTAGTACCACGAGTAAGACCTCTCCTTCTCCACTTCTGAACCCTAAAGATAGGATAAAAAAAAATCACCTGGCGTATACTCGAAGCAACCAAAGCGTAAGGTAGAAGAGGAGAGGAGGAGGAGGGCGAGATCTTAGTATACCAGCTAATCAGAAGTAACGAAGTTTACTGGAACGAAAAAAGAGATAACAATAAGAACGGATGACAAACATCAAAGCAACTACGGCTTCCCGGGCTCTCATGATGAGACGGGATGAAAGTTCGGATTTAGGGTTACAGTTGGAAATGGAGAAGCTGAGGGTTTTCATCTAGTATTCAACAACACGGTTTTTTCCTTAGACTAAGAAAGAAAGCAGCACCGCTGTCATGGCGTAACTAGAGGGCACGTTGTGTACGATTTGATTAACTTAGACTAAGAATAAGAAGCTAAAGAGGGAAGAAATCTCAAAAGGAAACGCTTGATGCCAGAGCTGGGTTTTATATCCAGACCACAGGCGACAACCAGTGACAGCCAAACTCGTGAATAAAATAACCCAATTAAACAGCACTCATGTGAATGGGAACCTTGATGGCAGGCATGTGACAGCCCAAATAGTGCTAGCCGTCATAGAAACCTAAAGTTAGAAAGAGGATTAGGAAGAAGATTACCTAAGCTAAGAAGAAAGATGAAAGTACTACTGAAAATAGTAGTTTTTTTTATATATAAACCGGAATTTGCTATTAAATTTATATAATTAGCTATAGAATAAGACACCCGATAGTACAGCTTAATTAAGTAGAGCTAAAAAAATGCCGCAACCGTAGATTAGATGAACCTAATACTGTAGTTCGGATATAGGCCACCGTCTACAGACAGCTAGCAAAGAGTGGAGCCTTGAACCCTTTATAAAAGGGTTTATGGTACGCAGGGCCTTTGGTCCGCAATTCTTACTCCTGCATCTTGCCTTTTTACTTTAATATTCAACTGCTTTTGCATTAAAGATATTTGGAGTTCTAAGCAAATCCGGCATACCATAACACTATTGAATGAAAATGAATTTAGTATAGGAACATTACAATAATAAAAGAACCTAATCTTTTACCAACGATACTTTAATATAATTAAAATCAACTTGAGATTAAAGTTGATTTATATAAATAAAATCTGATTTATTAAATATAATAATGACGATTTTTACACTAAACACCATACTCACAACAAATTTTACAAATATAATGCATTATGCTCATTACGATTATAACGGATTTGACAGTTTCATATTGAAGACCATACTGGACATTATTTTACAGTTGGAAAATTAACCTCCCGCCGGAAAAGAGTCCAGTATGAAGGAGACCATACGAGAGATGGTTTTCCAGAACCCAACCCCCCCCCGCGCGCTATGGTAGACTGGAGCACGGCTTAGCACAGGACATACACTACTAAAACTGGAAGCAGCGAAGCTTTGAGGTGTGTGGTGTTGTCTTCTTGTTCCTCCAAAGCGTATACTCGTGTCGAATAAAGTGAACTCGGCTTTGTTGACACTTTGACACATTATCATTAATACTAGGTAGGTTCGTTCTGTCTATTCAACTCAACACTCGCGACATCAACCATTAAATCGGAAAGCTGACAGAATCTCTCATGAAGTCCCTTCGTCCCTTCATAAACTCCTCCCACTTATCTCAAAAGACCGTAAGTTTGGGCTCTTTCATACCAGCTGAAACGTTCCTTCATCTCTCATTTTCATCTTCTTTCTCATTAACATCATTCCCCCTTTTCTTCCTTCTCATCCACATCATTCCCGTTAAAGGTCGTCACGCTGACTTGTGAAAGTCACTCATCCCTCCGCCCTCCCTCATGAATTCGTGAAATGTGGAAATTGTTAACAAAGGAAACAGGGCTGTTTCCCGGAAAAGTGTTGGAAGGAGAAAATTCGGAAACGGATGCAAAAAAGAAAAAGGAGAATGCGGGCCTAAGATTCATCACCAATATCACAACTACCCAAGAAACGGTAGCCTCCTCCTGCTCACCAAGAAAACCCCTTACACCTTCTCATCCATATACATCCTCCCCTTTCCCTTTCTCCTCCTGCTCTGGCCATGGCCACCGGCACTCTCCGAATCACTCCTCTGCTCCTCTTCCTCACTTTCATCACTCCAGCGCCCGCTCCCATCCCCTTCCTTCACTTCTTCCCTCCTCCTCTTACCCCGCTGCTTCTCCTTCTTCCCATTTCCCCTCATCCTCCTCCTCCTCTCACATGCTCCCCCTTACCCACCCCGCCGATATCCTCACTTTCATCCTCACTTCTACTCCCACCGACAACCTCCCTCACACTTTCTTTAGTAGTCGTAGTCTCCTTTCCCTTCCAATTCCATACCCCCGTCCTCCTCCCTTTACCTTCTTCCCCTTTCCCCTTTGAGTCCTTCACAGCCACCACCTCCTCCCTCTTCTCCCTCTCCTCCCGCTTCTCTTCTGCCCACACCCGTTTCCTCTCCTCCCACCCCTGCTCAATCAAACACGGCACTCCCCTAACCCACCTCCAACTCAACCCCACCGCCAGCGCAAAGTGCTCCTTAGCCTGCCGGAAGTGCGCAGCAGCTTCGACTTTGTTCGCGCGTGCCAGCCTTGCTCGCTTGCGGCTGGTGTAGGCACGTTCAGCGCGTTGGGCTTCTTTTAGGGCTTCGGAGGCTTGACGGCGGGAGAGGCGTAGGGCGAGTTCTGTGCCTGCTGTTGAGGGCCGTTGAGGGTGGTGGGCGTTAGCATTCCTGGGGGGAAGGGGGGATGGGAGCTGAAGCTGGCTGTTGGAAAGGGAAAGGGTGGGTTGGACTTTAATGGGTCGGGGGAAGGGGGGAGGGGAGGGAGGGAGCGGGAGCGGGAGCGGGAGAGGGGGTTGTTTTGGTTTTTCGGTAACGGTCTTTGTGGAAGTGTTGGCCATATTGTTATTGGATTTGGGTTCGTCCTTTGGAGGAGTAGGAGGTGGGAGCGAATCGGTAGAAGATGGAGAGGATGCTACGGATTTCATCCCCTCTGAGTCTTGACGAGTGTGTTTGTTGCTGTTGTTGTTGCGTTTGTTTGACTGGTAACGCCGTGGGTGTTGGCGACGAGTTCGATCTGCAGCTTGAGCTGGAGCTGGAGCTTGAGAGCTGGAGCGGAAAGGATCACTTAGACGGGAGAGCATCGTGATGGACGAGGAAAGGACACTGATGGAGGAGAGGAGGGGTGAGTGTGAAGGTGTGGTATTCTTTCAAGTCTATGTAGGGGAGCGTGACTTATATCAAGCATGGGAGTTAGTATCTCGTTTACTTGAAGGCATCTCTAAAAATATAGCGAGAAGTGCCGTAGAGTGCCTGGTGTTTTGGTGTGTTGGTTCGATACCACCTGGACATTTCTGATGTTTATGCAATGTCTTGGCGTCGTGATTCCCTTTGAAGCAGAGTGGTCGTTGCCACTCTCTCAAGACCGTTGCTTGAAGTTTAGAAGATTGTTCTATCACTTGATTGACGCTGAGCATAAGAATCCAATTAAATGAAGTGTGTACTAGCCAGAGGAACGTGTTGACTGGTTCTCTCGACTCTTTCCAGAAGGCGTCGAGGGCATGTTCTTGCCATAAACTCGGGGATCGCCAGGCACCATGCATCACCACTGGCCACCCTTGCGCATACAGATCCGGTCGGGTCCAAGGGCTATAAAAAGAAATCCAAGAGAAAACACATTTGATGTAAATAGCATACTTCAAGTGAAGGAGTCTGCGATGTTTGGCAACGACTGACAAATGTTTCCCCTGGGCACGCAGGCTCGCAGGGTATAACAAGATAAGATAAAGCTAGTCTACGTTAGTGTCCCGTTAGTGATGTCGTCGATCTCCCACATGGATCTCACCAGATTATCAAGTCTTCACTAACAATATCAATCAAGATACGAGCTTGGGGCGTCAGTAGCGTGCAGATAGCGTCGACAAAGTCGCGTGTTGACAGCTGTTTGTCGTCCCCAAGTCTCCGAATTCCCAGCCTTAAACCAAACCCGCTCTCAAACTTCCCATCCTCCTTCCTTTTCGACACAAGCTCCTGGTGGGTTTTCTTTGAAGCGAAGACACTCTCCGCACAAGAAGCGGGTTCCAGGCCGTTTTAGCCTTTATAACTCCAGTTCTCCAGAGATGCTTCCCGAACCCTCTCGTCGTCGACGAGCGTTCCCAGGTTCGGCCCTATCGTCCAAAGCCGAAGGATCGTCCAATTGAATGGCACAAGTGGAAGTCCGGGATCGCTCAAGAGCCCGAATCATTTCTCACGGACGTGCGGGTAATGGCGGGACCCTAAGTCTAGTGAGTCCTCACAACTGCACGCCTTCGGGTCTCCGCGCATTGCGCATACCGTGTCCAGTGTCCTGTCTCCCGAGTGGCCGGCCGGCGCCCCCGCTTCCCGGAAGAGCCGCGAGCGGTTGATGCTGGCGAGAAAGGGACTCACAGAGTGGGAGACTGCGAGCTGCGAGACAGTAGGAGGGGGGAAAAAGAGGGGATCGACAATCAGGCAAGACAAGGACCCCCAAGTTCCCAAAAAAGTTCCCCAACGACTGGAGAACACCCCCCTGAACCCACATGAGTTTGTTGACTTTGAGAGACACGAGGAATTGCATGTGAAGATTGCTGGGTATCCATCCCACTCTGTCCATTCGTCTGTCTCGTCGACAGTAGTTGTTGTGTGAGTTGAGAGAGAGAGTGTTACATCCGGAATCTTTCTTTTTCCACCTTGCTCTTGTATTCTACGAATCCCCTCCTTCTGACGTCGTCCCGAAAAAAACACCCGCGTTCTGGCCAGTTCGTTCTTTGTCATCCCGCGCCTTACCTTGTTGGTTGTCTCATCGTTGTATCAGTGAGCAAAGTACCAGTCGGATAACGAACAACAAAGCTTGGCACTTTCCTGAACATTTTTCGGGGTCATTGTCTGGGATTCCTTGTGGTGGTCACGCTCCGACGCCCAAAATTTCAAACGGCCCAATCGAGTACAAAACCGCCGTCAATCTGAATCGCCGCTCTCCGCTCCCGTTTCGCTCCTGGGATGTTCAGTCCGTCACACAAGCTCAACGCTTATACCACATATACACGTCAATCCGGTTTTCAACACCGTGACCCAAAATGAGCTCCTCGGCAGCAGATCCCTCTGCCGCCAGGCTCAACAGTGATGTCCGCCAACGGCATCCTACCGCGTCGGCCGCCAGCGAGGATGTAGAGGACGCTTTGCTGCAGCAGCAGAAAGAGGCCGATGCCGCCGCGTCGAGGGCCAAGAAGACATATGGCAAAACACCAGATGGCACAGGTAAGGAGATACTTCGGCTTCTTGTCTTCAATCTCTACGCCAGACGGATGAGCTAACATCAACCCCTCACAATGTTCAGTCTTCGTCGTCCCCACGACTCATGACATGGTCACCCAGCTGCTCGACCCTCGCGAGCCCAAGAACCTCTCAGATGTCGCCGTGCTCGCCATCATCGCTCTACACTTCCTCGCCGCTTACTACCTGCCTTGGGGCGTCAAGAGGCCTCTCTTTGCCGCCATCTTCATGTTTTGGAGGTTGGCTTACAATGTCGGCATTGGTTACCTGTTGACTATCCAGTCCAAGTACAAGCTCCTGGTGACTTGGGCCAAGAGGTGGAAGCTGTTCGAGAACCCCGCGACTGGCAAGAACCCGCGCCCATGGCTCTACAACCTGCTCAAGAAAGAACTCGAGACCAAGATCCCCCAGGATTACAAGTTTGAAGAGGCTCCGATCGAGTACAACACTTGGCTTACCTTCCGCCGTGTCGTCGACTTGATTCTCATGTGCGACTTCATCTCCTACTGCCTGTTCGCCATTGTCTGCGCCCACAAGCCGGACGGCGAGGGTTTCTTCGTCGGCTTTGCCCGTTGGGTTGTTGGAATCACGCTGGTTGGCTTCAACCTGTGGGTCAAGCTGGATGCTCATCGTGTTGTCAAGGACTATGCTTGGTACTGGGGTGGTAAGTTGAATCGCCTTTGCCGGACCTATCAGCTTCATTGGACAATCTGGAACTGACCATTATAGACTTCTTCTACCTCATTGAGCAGGAACTTACTTTCGACGGTGTCTTTGAGCTGGCTCCTCACCCCATGTACTCCATCGGATACGCTGGCTACTACGGTATCTCCATGATGGCCGCGAGCTACGACGTCCTCTTCATCTCCATCATCGCCCATGCTGCCCAATTCGCCTTCTTGGTGGTCGTCGAGAACCCTCATATCGAAAAGACCTATAACCCGCCTCAGCCCCGCGTGAGGTCCGAGTCGGAGGCTGGTAGTCAGTTGCAGGAGGTTGCTTCCGAGTATTCTGTTCCTTCTACCTCCGGAAGACATAACGACAACTCCCCGCAGCCCGTCCACAACCTCATCGGTCTCAAGAACCTCGATTTCTTCCGCATCACAGATGTTGCCGTCGTGCTCCTCTCTGCTTACCTCGCCGTCGTCACCATGGTTACCCCCAACACCCGCTTTTACCAGGCTCTTTTCGTTTTGCACGCTCTGGCTTGGCGTGTGTGGTACTCGTTTGGTCTAGGAGTCATTTTGACCATGCAGTCTGAGGAGAAGATGTTCACGAGGCACTTCCTCAAGTACGGCGAGAGCTTGGGCGAGGCCTGGCGCCAGTGGAAGGGTATCTATCACCTGAGCAACTGCCTCTGCCATGCTTCCTTCATTGCTGCCTGCTACAAGATGTACGAATTCCCCGCCGGTGGAGACAACGGCTGGGCGCTTCTGAAGCACGTCGTTGGCCTGGGCTTGATTGCTCTCCAGGTCTGGACCGCTACCAGCATCTACGAGTCGCTAGGCGAGTTCGGATGGTTCTATGGCGATTTCTTCTTCGACAGCAAGAGGCAGCTCACTTACACTTCCATCTACCGCTTCCTTAACAACCCCGAGCGTGTCTTTGGTACCGCTGGCTTGTGGGGCGCTGCGCTGATCACATGGTCCCGCGCCATCTTCCTCATGGCTCTTGCCGGCCACTTCCTCACCCTTGCGTTCCTCGCGTATGTTGAGAAGCCTCACATGCAAAAGGTCTATGGCCGCAACCTGCGCGATGATGCCGGTGTCACCAAGTTCATCAAGCGTTCTCTACCTCCCCCGGTCACCGAGTGGCAGCAGAGCATTGACAAGGTCCTGGATGAGACCAAGCACTTTATCGATGAGTTTGTTGAGGCTGCTCGCTCCAGGCTCGCCACCGGATCTTCTACCATTGTCAAGGATACTTCGGCCCTGTTCAACAAGTACCCCGCTCGTCTCACCATCAGCAAGATTTCAGCTGACCTTGCGGGCTATGATCCCAAGCACTACGGTCTGTCTCTAGCTGGTACACCTGTTGTTGGCACAAACGAAAAGGCCACCGGAAAGGAAAGCCCCAACGCTCGCGTGCTCAAGGATGTCAAGACCCAGTCGTTCGAGTACGGAGCCCCAATTCGCGTCAAGTGGACTGCGCCCGCCAAACACAGCAAGAAGGACTGGATCGGTCTCTACATGGTCACGGACAACCGCTCTAGGGAAGTCACCGAGGTTCCGTCCCTTGGCCGCTGGGTACCGACCAACCCTGGCGAGTACGATACCACGACCGACCAGGGCATTCTTGTCTGGGACCAACCTGTCGAGAAGAAGTCTGAGGATACGGATCTCGTTGAGGGTGAGATGATCTTCGAGGGTGACAAGCTGTGGTGGACACAGGGTGTGTTCGAGTTCCGTTACCACCACGGTGGCGGACATCACGTCATGTCCATCTCGGAGCCTTTCGAAATCCAGATCCCCAAGTTCGACGACGAGCACAGAGGCGTCGATATCAGCGCTGGCAGCGGAGAAGTTGGTGAGCGCGCCGTCGAGGCGGCTCTCCTGCCCGTTATCCGCAACTGCTTGGACCGCGACCCCGATATTGCGCCCAGCAATGCGGACGAGCGTTTCGGTGGCCATGTCGAAAGAGATGGCAAGTACGCCAGGCGTGTTGTGTACGCTATTAGGCATATGTTTGGTATTGACTTTGCCCCTGCGGTTGTGCTTGCGGACGGAAACGTCCGTAGGCTGGCTTGGAGGATATGTCACGCTAAGGAAGTGCTGGTATGTCACGGTCATATCCATCCCTTTGACAAGTTTACTAGTTGCTAACTACTTTTGTTTCACAGGCTCCATTCAGCATGTCACATACCAACGGCCGGACAACACCGGTTGATAGCAAGTTCTCTGAGTAAAGGGGATTCTCATTCCCGAATGAAGAGAGAACGAAGATGGCGAAAATGCACCAGTGTCTTTACTGCACCCTGGTGCCGTTTTGTCCCTTGACAATGAGATACAGGACCCGGAAAAGTCTTGATCTATGGAAGAGGGAGGGAGGTGGTGGATGGAGTTATGTATGCATTGTAGGATGATCCAGCATTGAACGAGATACCATATCTGCATCTTTTGGTTGGCGGACAGATGTCAGGCATAAAATTGAAATAGAATCAAAGAAAGAACAAAATCAGAACTCTGCTCAACCCAATTGAAACTTTTATGTGCTGTACAAATGATAGATCTGCCATCGTCTCCATGGAGTTGAATGGTCTATGAATTGACCAATATGGCGCGATCATCGTGAATGCGGGGTAGCTAGGGGGAGCTCGGGGAGCTACGGGGCGGCCAGGCTATCTGTTAGTCCTTGCGCAGTATTAACTATGCAATCACTAACACATGCGGGGCTGACCGCCGGGACGTCTTCGACTCCGGAGCTGCCCGTCGTCATTGATCGCTATCTGAGTGAAAGTCCAAAGTCGCATTACACCAGCCCCGAAACCCGGAGGTAAGCTTAAGCTCGGAAATTATTCGGAACGTTGCCCATCACACTTATCTATCAAAAGCATATTTTCTTTTGTCGTCGTCTTTTGATTTGTCATTCTCATGTTTTCCATAAGAACACGTTCACCAACAACAACAGCAGCAGCAGCAGCAGCAGCATCAAGACTCGCAGCTAGATATCTGACTACCATCTCCTCCTCGGCAGTTGGAACCACCACCACCACTCACACTCAAACTCTCCCGGTCACACTTCGCTATCAGATCTCCAGGACCCTGAGCCGCTCATCTCTTCCCACCTTTTCCAAGACCACCAACCCCTTCATATTTCCATCAAATCAAAAGAAGAACCATGTCCTCAGCAGCAGCAGCCAAGCGCCTCGCCAATAAGACCGTCGTCATCACAGGCGCCTCGTCCGGCATCGGCCGCAGCACCGCCTTCGAGTTTGCGCGGACCGCGCCCAACAACGGGCTCAAGCTGATCTTGACGGCCCGCCGCGTCGATGCCCTGGAGCAGATTGCAAAGGAGATCCGTGAAGAGGTCGGTGAGGGCGTGCAAGTGCTTCCCGTAAAGCTGGACGTGAGCCAGCCTGAGGAGGTTAGGGGTTTCGTGGGTAACCTGCCGGAGGAGTGGAGAGATATTAATGTTTTGGTTAATAATGCGTGAGTATTCTTCTTCTTTTTCTGTCATCTTCGTGACCCTGTAGTTGTGAGTGAGAATAAGTGTCTGAGTAAAAGGCTAACGAAGTGTATAGTGGTCTCGTAAAAGGAGGTTTGTCTCCCCTACTCCCGTTCCGACCTACCTTACCTACTTTCGCTCAAACGCTCACTTGAATGATACTAAAAACTATACACAAAAAGTCGCCCAAGCCCCATCCATCGCCGAAGCCGACATCAACGTCATGTTCGCCACCAACGTCACCGGCCTCATTAACATGACCCAAGCCATCCTGCCCATCTTTAAGGCCCGCGGAAACGAAGGTGGTTCGGGCGACATCATTAACATCGGCTCCATCGCCGGCCGCGAGCCGTACGCCGGAGGATCCATCTACTGCGCCACCAAGGCCGCCGTGCGCAGCTTCACCGATGCCCTGCGCAAGGAGCTGATCGCCACGCGCATCCGCATCATGGAGATTGATCCCGGCCAGGTAGAGACCGAGTTCAGCGTGGTGAGGTTCTACGGCGACAAGAACAAGGCCGATGCAGTCTACGCTGGCGTTGATCCGTTGACGCCGGACGACATTGCTGAGATTGTGGTGTTTGTTGCGACAAGAAAGGAGAACGTTGTGGTTGCTGATACGTTGGTTTTCCCTAGTCATCAGGTATGTTCTTCCCTCATATCATTCTGTCTGTTTTTGTCTCGGAGGTGTGAAGTTGTGTAAATTGACTAACTGATGTTGCAGGCTGGTGCTGGTGTTATGCACCGCAAGTCGACATAAAAAAAGAGTGTAAAAAGGGGACGTAGATAAGTATTTAGCCGTATGTATATACATAGAACCAAGATGTGTGAATATGAAAGAAATGATAGAAGCGAGTTCGACGCCGATATGATCGTCACAAACTCACTGTGTTGTTTGAGCAAGCGGGGGTTTAAGGTGAGTGTTGCAGCCCATTTTCTTTAATTAATGATCGCTAACTGTTACGCTTCTATCAAGACATCATGTGCCCGTGTGAACGGCTCCTCGCTGACATGTGTGTGATCCGTTTTCCACGCCGGTATCGAACTCCAAAAATCAAACACTCCCCAAAGACCTCGCCCATCCCCACTTGACATGGACACCGTTATGTTAACCGCTGTATATCAAGTACACTATATTCTGAACCGATCCAACCAGTCTTCATGATCCATTACTCTTCACCTTGACGTCGACCGGTCCTCGCCTGCTGCCTAAGCCTCTTGAGTAGTCTTTCTGCTTTTCTCTTTGGGGCCAGTTCCGCTTGCCGACGAGCTTCCGCTTCATCGCGCCTCTGCATCATGACCTCGATAGGCAATTGGATCCAGCGACGAGCGAGGAGGGCGCAAACTGTACCAAGTGCCGCAATTGCAGAAGCAATGACCATGGACGTCTCCAGCGCCTTGGTATACTTTTCCGGATCCAACGGAGTGCCAGAAGAACCCTGAATACCAAGCACGGCGCCTGAGACGGCAATACCAATGCTACCGCCCATTATGCGAAGCAGAGCTACCAGTCCCTGCGCCGTGGCATGTTCGTACACGGGCGACTCGACAATCGCAAGATTTGTCGCTGCTGCAGCACTGAGGCCGAACCCGAGACCAACGAGCCCCACGTAAACCGCGTACAGCGTGGTACCGAACCGACGGGCTGACATTGCGTTGCCTGCCGATGAAGCAGTTCCAAGAGTTATCAACATGCCGCCGCCTGCTATGGTCCAGTGCAGCACGTTGCGCTTCTTGCTAAGTCCCGGAGCCACCATGCTACCCAGCGCCGATAATCCAAGCATGGGCAGAAGCACGACGCTGGCCTGGAGAGCGCTGTACCCATTGACAACCCTGAATCTCATCGGGAAGACGTACAGTGCCATGAGATAGCCAAAGCCCAGACACCACGTGCTTGCAGCCATCAAGACATACACGTGGTTCTTGATGAGTACCATCGGGATGACTGTAGTCGTCCGGATTTTCAAATATGTGTTGTCAACGAGCAAGGTCCAGACCATGAGGAGGATCAAGGAGCCGAAACCGCCGACCAGCGGTCCTATAAACAGGTTATCGTTCCACCCGAAACCTACCCTCACGCTTTGGAAGGCGTATGTGATCAAAACGGTGGCTCCCGTGCTTTGAGCCCAAAGGGTCAGCATGTTTTATTCCAGGCTTTTCCATCCGGGAACTGGGGCACAAGAGGACCACTACTCACAGCAAAAATGATCCTAGCATATCAGTCTGCCACCACGACCTACGTTGATAAGCAGGTAGATGCTCTGGACGAGGCCATGCAAACCAGAACGCTACCAAGCCTACGATGCCAGAAATACTGTGTCCCACGGCATCTCATTAGCATACCACACACTCAACAAAACAAGGGAGACAGGTCACGGAGTCATTTACTTGATCCAAAAGATCCACCGCCAGGTCAAATAATTCGTCAGCACACCACCCAAGACCGGCCCCAGTACACCAGCAAGCGCAATGATGACCCCGATGATTGCCCCGATGAACTTCTTCCACCGGAGCGGCGTCACCTCCGTCAGTATGATAATCGCCAGGCTGTACAAGCCCGCGCCGCCGACGCCCTGAAACGCGCGGCAAATGACTAAGTCCCTCAACTTTTCGGCGTCCGCGCATTCTATCGAGAAGGCCACAAAGAGCACATAGGCGGCCGCGAACGCGTATCTGTGCCCCACCACGTCCGACACCTTGGCGAACAAGATGGCGCATCCGACAAAAGCCAGCGTGTAAGCCAAAGCGACCCAGTTGACCGTGTCCAAGGCGTCGAACTCGGTACCGATTTCGTACAGAGAGGTGGCAACGATGGTGGTGTCTAGCATGGAGAGGAAGAGGCCGAAGCCGACTCTACGTTGCTGGTCAGTGAAACAAACTCGGGGAAGAACACAGTGAGAGGAGAGACAGAGACAGAGACTGCACTGATAAGCTGGCAGGCAAACTTACCCCAAACAGAGAAAGATATACTCCTTGAGAGGCATCTCCAGCGGAGGAGCTGCATCGGGAGGAAAAAGGTCATCGGGATTGGGCGCTGCTGCTGCGACATCTTCATTGTTATGTTCAGGGGGCTGTGGTGCATCTTTGTTGTTGTCATCGGCTTGGAGAGGAACATCCTCAAAGTTTACACGCCGCCGCTCCTATAATAGATATACCTGGTATTAGAAACATACACCCAATCAATGCCAGAACACAACGCAAGACCAAGACAAAAATGAAAGGAAGCAACCAAGTCTAGGTAGTATCGAAACGGAGTGTCTTATGAACTGAACTAACCTCGATGTTGATGACGATGCCATTCTCGTTGTCCTTTGATGGTTCTTCATGGCTCTGGACCTGGCGCTGGCGCTGGCCCTGGACTTGCTCTTGCTCTTCTTGCTGCTGCTTGCCTCCGGGTCCTCCGACGGCGAGAACGGGCGGATGTGGCTGTGGCTGTGGCTGTATATATGGGCTGTCGTCTCGGAAATAATCCTTAATGATTTCTAGAGAGCTCTCACTCGAATCACCGCTGCTTCCGTCTTGAGGGACCTGTTGCTGCTGAGTTTCCGGTGTCTGTTGTTGAAGTTCTGTAGAGGCCGATGCTACTGGTGTCGGTTGGTGTTGTTGGTGGTGGTGGGGCTCCGGCTGCCCTTGATCTTGAGCTTGAGATTGAGATTCTTGACGCCGGATTGCTTGTTGGTCAGAGGTAGACATGGTGGTGTAGTTTGGAATAACCATCGATCAATATAACAAGGGATAATGAGGTAAGTATTGTAGTATGTGGGATAAACAACGAGCGAGTGTCTGTCTGTCTGTTGGTATAACCATATGAAGTAGTCGTATGCAATAATGTGGCCGGGGCTTTGAGGCGACGGAAGTGTGAGTGGAAGAGTTCAAGACGGAGTTGAAGAAGTCAACAGGTGATTCGGACTCATAACCAGAACTTCTGAGGGCCAAACTCGATTCCAGAACAAGAAGCTGAAGCAAGTACGAACACCAGGTTATGTTATTGTCAGGTCATGGTCGACTTTGCGGGAATAGTTTTCGAGGAAGTCGAGCACCACTTTGTACTTCCAAGCAGGTAGGTAGGTAGGTGCGGCCTTCGACGATTCAGAATTTCAGATCATCGGTTTCGTCGGTTTGGGAAGGGACATACCGGTCGTTAAAGAAGCGACCATCCAATCCATCTGAACAGTATGCCCCCAACTCTCAACACTTAAGGAAACCTCTACACTACCAAGCAAATAGGCGTGCTGACGTTGCTTGTGCAGCGATCATCTGGCATGGCTTGATAAAATGTTAATGGTGTGTGCCATGCGGCACCTCAAGTTTCACTGCTTTTCTCGTTAAAAGTTGTATATAACAGGAAGGTGCTTCTGCTCTTTAGCAGGCGGTCTACACTATCCGCGCCTCTTTTCTTGCGATACTCACGTCTGATTTGTCTTTTTAGGCGAGAGAGAGGGTTGAAAAGAAGCTAGTAAGTGGAAGTTCTGGATTCTGGAACAGGAAAGTAATCCCCATTTGCACTGTTTGTCCTGTCGAGTTTGTTTGTTTGTTTTCTACCTGCTATGTCCTGTCGAGGTTTTGACTAGTCCACTTGCGGATTTCGTTAGCGAGTTGCGGCCTTCCTTGTGACTACCTATGTTAGGGTGGCATATGGAAGGGAGAATTAGTAGTAGAGGCGAGATCTTCGCATTCGTCGCATTCGTCGTATTCATCACTTTAGGTAATGTCAGACGGGCCAGCCAGCCAGACAGACCCCAAGTTGCAAGGTAAGAACAACCAGACCTGGGACCAACTCACTCCCCAGTCCAATGATATGGGCGCAAGAAGCGAGAAAGGAATATCTTACCAACGCAACGGCCGCTAACACATCAACACATCATTACAACAGCAACGCGACCAACCAACCAACCAACCACCGTTTGTTCCTCTTTGAGAAGCTTGGAGCGAGTTGACCGACCAAATGCGGCAACGGCTACAGTTGGCGCCTAGCATTTGCTTTTGGTTGCAGATGGAAGTGTGATGGTCGTACGACAGACATGGAGCTGAGAAGAAGGTTCGACGCTGTCTGTGACCTACAAATGCCTGTTCGCTAAACATCAATTCTGGAACCAATTGGGGAAAGATCTCGACGGCGATAAGAGCGCCTCAAACACTCCTACCGGTCGAGCCGTTAATGGCGGGATGCGATTCTGTAGTTGGGAGATATCTAGATGTCCTTGATAACTGGTCTGAGGGAAGTATGTCTCTATTTCCTTTCGATGCAAGTGATGCGACTGTTATAGATATGTTTGTTTGATCGAGCTATTTCGGTCTCAAGATTGTTTGTTTGAGTATCGGAAGCCATCCGGGGTCGGGCCGGGCCGGTGTTGGGGCGCGAAGGGAAGATACTCATCGATATTTGTCGGACACTTTGAGCAAACAATGCTTTACGCCTGTTCCCAAAGGGTTCAACAACAAGCGTATCTTGGGTGACACATACATGGCCCCACACTCCCTTCTCGAAACATCATTTCACTTAGTTCCCTTCAACCATGTTACCGATTGATAAAACTGGGGACTGAGTCGAAGGAACGAGAGCTGGTTCTGGGTATCGGGTCTGAGGAACGGTTCGTACAGTTAGCACATGTATCTGAAGAGTTGGAGCAACCACATTGCCAGAAGCACAAACCTCCTACTCTCCGTATCGTGGATGTCCTGGGCACAACGGGATCGTCATGTCGCCGACTGCCTCTCAGTTCAGCAGAAGCAAGTGATGTTGACGTTGTTCGCCCATGGTTACTACCCGCTGCATGGTTGTTCGATCTAGTAGACTGAGTATAACGACCCGAACGAGGAATCGCCGGTAAAGTGTTGCTTAGAGAGTCTCGCATGGACGAGAAACGAGTGCCTGGCTCACCCATCGACATGTGGCTAGCTGGTGTTCCAGGTATCGGAACTGCAGATTGGTTAGTGTTGTTTCAGTATGCCAAGGCAATAGTGAAGATTCACATTGGGGATCCATTGATTTGTTCCAACCTTCCAAGCTTTCTGAAACCGAATGCCTTCTCAAAGACCTTGAGTCATCGGGGAAGTAATTGGTTCTCGATCCGATCCCACCAGAGTTCTGTCCCTGGAGGTCATACCGATTCGTCTCTGGACCTATCCTCGAGCCCATGACAGCAGCCGGATCGTTGGCTGGCTGGCTTAGCAACACCTTTTGCTTAAGTTTGTTGTAAAGCTCCTGAGCCTGGTCCAACTTCTTGCTCTTTTCGGCCAGCGTACGGCGGAGGTCTTCACACTTTCGACGGAGACCTTGCTCTTCGAGTTCCATATCTGGCAGGACTGTCAGCCCGTTGTGACCAGCATGCAAGAGAGATGGGCAGCGGGGAAATACCTTTGATCTTCGCCGTCAAGGTGGATATCCTGGTGTTCCCTTGGTTCCACACGCTCTCAACTTCACGCTCGAGGGAGACGCAGTGAAGCTGCAGATTTCTGTTCATCTGAGACTGACGGAGACTAGTTCTGTGTGTCAGCATCTAAGAGCTCAATCAAGCAGCTGATCAGAGAGCGGCGAAGAATATCAAAACCGACATTTGGTTTGTCATCTGATACGACCAGAAACTCAGGGCTCTTCCCGCGCATTCCATGACAACAGTAGGACTTAAGCCACACAAAATGACAGATTTCCACTCTTCCGATGGACGAAGAAGCTGTCTACCCGTCTCGGCCTCGTTCAAGGGCTGACGACAGACAGGACAGGTATAGGGTCCCTGGTTAGTGAAGCCGTGGCGACTTGCGCAGTCCATACATATCGCATGGCTATGAAATTGTCAGCTTAAGGACTCGCGACGATGGTACAAAGCATCAAACCGACCTGCATGCTGTCACCAGGGCTTGCCCCGTTAACTGGGCGCCGCATTTGTTGACATTACAGGCGAGGTCTTGCTCCATGTTATCCAGCTAGGAACCTTGGATATAATGAGAGACGAAAGAGCGAGACAAAGTGGCGACAAGATCAACCCTGAGAAAGACAGGCGCATATGAAGGAATTCGTAGGACGTTTGACGAAAAAATGGAAGCTAGGAAAAGAAACAGATCATGACGGCCATGATATTTGGAGGAAACGCGACCTGACAGGTTCCAGAGAAGGCGAACACAAGCAAATTTCTTGGTGATGGCATGATTTTGGAACGCGCCTTCCCTCCGGAATTATCAAGTGTTGCTTCTTGAGAAGGAACGAACTGTGGCCGAATCTAACCGCTTTCGGATTTCCAGTAGGATGAAGGGGAGCAAACAGAGATGTCTGCATCATTTAAACAAAGCCATCTCCAACGTTCCTGGTTAAGATTCGGCGAATGATGTTGAAACCCCATTGCTTGTCGTGGTGTTGACAAAGAGCGCGTCTGTCTGGTTCCCGTCGTTGGGCCACCCCCGTTCTCGATAACAGGCGGACCTCAGTTGCACTTGCAGCGCGGGCCAACTAAATGACAATGAACGAATTCTGGCGCAGATTTCAGACCTGAGCGCTCTTTAAAGCATTGTGTTCGAACTTTATCACTTCTCCGCATCTTAAACCATTGATCGTATCGATACTGGGTAGTGCTATGAAGGTATCGCGAAGTGGTTCATGTCAACAAATCAAGCGACCGACAATCAACACGCACCGACAATCTGCAGCCATCAAGGTTCCTGCACCAGCCACATACGCCACGCCTAGCTGCACGTTGGCTCTCCAACCGACCCCTCCCGGTGGCGGTGCTGCAGCTGTTCGTGCCGCTGTCAGCGAAGTGGTGATCCACCAGAGGCTCTCAAACCCCACCGCTCCACGACCTCACAACCACAACCTACGTAACCGACAGCTCACCTCGGTCGCGACAGAAAGACCGTTAACTGGATAAAGTTATAATCCAAAATGACCGAGATTGTAATGGACCAGACACCGCCCATTCTTCAGGGCCCCTCAGAAAAGGAACGCAAATATGATCGCCAGTTGCGCCTCTGGGCAGCGAGTGGTCAAGCCGCCCTTGAATCGGCAAACATCCTGCTCGTAAACTCTGGCGCTGGTACAGTGGGTGTTGAGACTCTCAAGAATCTTATCTTGCCAGGTACTGTGCTGCTTCTAGTTTGGTCCTGGATCGCCACGATTATACCAACTTGAACTTTCCGATGCTGATACGAATGCCACAGGCATCGGGCGGTTCGTCATTCACGATAATGCGCTGGTGGACGAGGCCGATTTGGGTGTCAACTTCTTCTTGGACGATGGCTGTTATGGAAAACCTCGAGCACAATGCCTGGCGAGTCTGCTTGGGGAGTTGAACCCAGAAGTTGAGGGAGACTGGTCACCAAAGACCAAGGTAACGGATCCAAGAGGGTATGGCCCAGCTCTCCGGTGAAGCTCATTACTGACTTGACGGAAGCAGAACGACTCACTGGGGTCTCTTCTTAAGAAATCCCCCTTATTTACCGCCATCATGTACACATATCCCATCAACCACGTCGAGCTGGAGCCCCTCGAACAGTACAGCAAAGAGCACAAGACGCCACTAATAGCAGTCCACTCGACTGGCTTTTATTCGTATTTCACCGTCAGACTCCCCGGAACATTCCCGATAGTCGACACTCACCCAGACGAGACGGCAACCACAGACCTTCGACTCCTCAGCCCCTGGCCTGAGTTGGTCGAATTTGCCAAAAATATGACCAAGGATATCGACGGCTTAGACAACTTTGAGCACGGTCACCTGCCATACGTCGTAATATTGCTTCATTACTTGGATCAGTGGAAGGCAACACACAATGGTGCCTACCCCTCAAATTACAAGGAGAAGACGGAATTCAGACAGCTAGTGCGAGACGCCGCCAGGACAGACAACCCCGAGGGTGGCGAAGAGAACTTCGACGAGGCTGCTGCTGCCGTCCTAAAAACGGTCACCTCCTCTTCTCTACCATCAGGGCTGAAGGAGGTGTTTAAGTACGAGCACAAGGACACTGTACGTTGCGACGTTCCCCGCAGATTGTCCTCGGTAAACACCACGTCTGCTGACACGATGCTTATTAGATCCAAGAGAGGCCAATGTTCTGGATCATCGCGGACGCGGTCAATGTGTTCTATACTAAGCACGGCTCCCTGCCACTTCCGGGCAATGTTCCGGACATGAAGGCCCAGTCCAAGGTCTACCTCCAACTCCAGAACATCTACAAGACCAAGGCTCGCAAGGACGCGGCCGAAGTCCTGCAGACGGCACAAGCGATTGCGGGGGCGGGACGAGAGGTGGATCCTGCAGAAGTCGACCTCTTCTGCAAGAACGCAGCATTCGTCAAGCTGATCAATGTAGAGGGTGGAGGAGACACTGCCCCTCTTGGCAGCAAAGAGAGGCTTCAACAGGTGCTTCGTAAGTTCATATCTCTTTCGGTGATGGATGTACCCATATGGGTTGCTCACTGCAACCGCGGGCTTCAATCATGAGCTCCTAGACCCCGGGAAGAAAGAAGATGGGGCATCGGAATGATATATTAACATATTGCCACAGGAACGGAGATGGCCAATGACCAGATGGCGGAAATGACATTACAGCCCATGTCGCTCTTCCCAATCTACTTGGCTATGAGGGGTCTGGCGTATTGTGGGAACGCATCGGCCGACAAGACGCAGCTCGTTGAGGCCGTCAAGAGCTTGCTCTCCGATAATCTGTCGAACGAGGAGGAGTACGGGGACATCAATGAGAAGCTGGGGAATGTGGCAGAGGACCTTGCCCGAGCCGAGTACGGCGAGCTACACAACATCTCCGCACTCACGGGTGGTATGGTGGCTCAGGAGATGATTAAGATCATCACCAAGCAGTACATCCCCATCGACAACACGTGTGTATTCGACGGCATCAAGAGCCGAACGCAGGTCTTCCGCGTATGAGGAGATAGAGAAAGGGGGGTTGAGGCGAGTTGTGGAAGTGAGAAGGGACTGCATTGGCCAAGCGATACGCCTCTCAGCTCTGAACACAGTACACAGAGAGAAAGAGGCAGTGTCGGAGGCGATGATCAAAGGAATCAGGGATGGGGAGATGGATGGATGGATGGGTGGAGAGATCAAAAGAGAAACTTGGATTGGTTCTGGGCCCAGCTTGGCCCAGACCCAAGTCACGATCCCTTATCTGCTGTCCGTCGTGGAGGCATCTCCGAAGGCCGACGACCATGCCATGCCATGATGTGGGTCCCTTTCCCGCTTGGCCGGTAGTAGCAGCCAGCGCTTGCTGAGTATTTGCTGACTCATTAGAAGGAGGCGAAAAAGGAACTCTCTCAATTGGGAAAGAAGTGAGGAAAGGAAATGATCAGGGGAGAATTTGGAATAGACGAGCAGGCAGGCGCTACCGATGGTTGATGAGCTGGAGGCATGTACTTCAAGCCTGAAGATAATAGGGGTCTCGAGTCTTGACCCGAAGGCGATCGGACTTTGGCACCAGGATAATGGTCAGGGAATCTAGAAGAGATGGAGCCACAAGTCTCATTGCACTCAGTACATACCTGACCCTCTCCTCAAGAGTAAGGCAGACCAGAGCTAAGTGAAAATAGAAATGATAGCGGAAAAAGCAGAAGTTCGAAAACAGCGTTCAACAGGTAGACAGACTAGAGAGAGGCAGAAAGGAATGAGAATAAGAAAGAGGAGAGAAACAAGAAGAAAACAGGAAAAAGACTTGGGCAATGTGCTGTCTAGTATACCCGTAGAACCTACATACCTCAATTGTTTGGCGACAGCTTAGCTTAATCAATGCGGGCGGGCCTTCCCCTTCTAAGCCTGCCTTCATATACCGTGCCGGCAAACCTGTGTGAATCGGTGTGCTTTTTTGGCCTTTTCGAAAGTCCCTGGATATGATTAAACACTTTGCTGGGTTCGATTTGACGAGGTAAAAAAAATAAAAAATTACGGAATATTCCCTGGATTTTACTCACCTTCGTTCGCCCTGGCCTTGAATATCATCATATTGTTCCTCTCCCAACTCTTGCTTGTTTCCCACATGAAGTCATATTCCCCCATCATCATCATCATCATCATCATCATCATCATCATCATCATCATCATCATCATCATCATCAGCTCTCATCAGCTCTCATCAGGGCCTAATTAACGCACAGTAAGTAGTAATGCAGGTTTTGACCTTGATGGATGAATGGAGGGATGGATGGACGATACTAAATGGATGAAATGGATAGCTGGCTGTTTCGCGCTTCGGACCGCAGGTCCTGCTCCCTCAATTCATTCGCGCTCAATGCCACCTCACAGTCTCACTAGCGTCGTAGGGTTAAGGTTAAAGGGCACACACCTTATGCTTTTGAGTGCTGCGGTGTGCTGGTGGTGTTGGGGTGATAACGGGAAGACACTTACTGTAGGTGAGTGAGAGGGATGGATGCAAGTGAGAATTTTCTTTATGTTTTCCCTTTTCATTGTCTGTTTTCCTTTGTCTTGACGATAGCTCGAATCAGGCTCACTGAATTGTGTGGTTGGTCAGTGACATTTTACTCTTGGTTCTTGAAGGGCCCATGGGGACTGGAGAGGTGTGTGTGTCTAAGAGTGAGACCGCTTAGCACCACACTGGTTTTGTGTTAGTTCAATATCATCTGCAGCTTTGTGGCAAGGTGTGCGTGAGGCTCTTTTGCCTTTCTTCTTTCCCATATGATCCCAGGTAAGGTCAAACGCTGACTGTTTGCCATTGTTCACTGTACAGACTTCTTCAACAGGAGCATCTTGAGTCTTGATGATGACCTCAGACATTGACTGCGAAGTGAGTTAGTTGCTCACAAGATTTCGGTAGAACAACCAAAAACTCGCCATTTTCCGGTTGAAAATGTTTGAAATGATGTACGCATAGTAGGTATGTCCCTTGACATGCTCCACTCATGTCGTCGTTGCGATGGACTTCATGTTCCATTGCATGTTACAATGCCAGGTACAAAGGTACACGCCGGCGAATCGTCGGGCTGGGCGCCCGATATTTGCGGATCACCGTTGCAATGCTCGACAGCCCTCACGGAATTCTCGCAGGATTGTCCCGATACGTACCCCTTATGATGCATGCAAGTGGTTGCACGTGGATAAAAGAGTGTTTGTTCATCAAGGTGCACAGTAGTGTAGCTGTAGGTGATATGTAGCCGCGCATTTCTTCCTGTATTCGAGCTAATGCTTCGCCTTGAATGGCATGGAAGGGATATCGAGAGCACCATTCAGCAACAACAACACCACACTAGACATCTAACGGTACAGAACCGTACGACGGCAGCGTGCCAACAGTTCATGATCGTGTGGGATAACAAGGCACTGACAAAGTAACCCGTCCTTGCACTGACGATAATGGACAAGGTAAAACCAAGGCGGTCAAGTACGGAAGTTTGACGAGGTGACCTGACCTGGCCTGTCAACGTCCATGCGATCCATCCTGAGCAGACGGGCTTGACGGACATTATCAGATCGCCCGACGGACAAGGGATGCGGACTTGGCCGGCGGTTGAGGAATCATGAAAGCTTGAAACACGCCAAACTTGCAAGACGACCGGATATTCGTCGAGACTCGAGGATGCATGCGGAGATACCTATGCCAGGTCAGTATTGTCGCTTATACTGATAGAGGACCTCTGACACTGAAATGACGGGAGCGAGAGTAGGAGGTGTTTGTTTCCCAGTTATTCCACACATATGAGACAGGAGGCAGCAAGGCAGCTTGGAAGGGAAGGGTTGAGGAAGTCAGGAAGGGTGGGCGAGTCTTCCAGAAGCACCTCCTGATTCGATAGTGTAGGGTACTAGGGCAGGGTTAAAAACAGGCCCACTAGACTAGGGGATGAGAGGACACTGGGCAGGGAGGATTCAGTTCAACCGTTTTCTGAGAAACGGTCCTCGGGAAAATGAGACGCTGTAAACCACAAAGGAAAGTGGCTGAGAAGATGGCAGAGTGAATGGCCCAAATAGGATTATCCAGCACCACCAGGTATGTGATAATGGATGCTTGCGGATACGCCGATGCATTGTTCATGAAATCCCATGTATTGGTCTCCAATTGAGCCGAGAGCCACGTTTTGCCAAAGATATCTGCTGAGGATTGCCAGTGACGGATGGGTGTGTAGATGGATGGGTCCAAGGACAGGTCTCGACACTCAGCTATCTCTAAGAAGTCAGGCACGAAGTTGATACTCGATTCGAGTATTCGAAGATGAGAGTCAACCATGCTATTTCGAGAGGCCAATTCTCGAATCCGCTCGGAGCCAGACTATGCATGTTGAGCAAGTCTGGACCCGTGTGCCCGAGTTCGACCAGACGTGACACGTCAACACGGCTCGGATGAAGGTATCGGGATACCAGAAGTTGGAAGTCGTGCGGCTGGTTGGATTTGTGCCAGTGAACGAGAGGAGGATGGATGGATGTTTCGCTGCCATACCGAGACTACCCTGCTTGTGCGAAGGGTATCTATGGGCATGGGGCGGATAAGGACGGTCTATAGCGGCAATGGTATAGGGAAGAAAAGATGAAGCCAACTGGGTTGTTGCCCACATGAACAGAATGACGGCGTCTGCTTCGTTGCCAGATAAATTCGAGACGGCAGAATAATATAGCCACCTCTGCAGGGCGAAGCTGTCCCATCCTTATCCCGGTTCCGCCTTCCAGCCAAGGATGAGAGGCCACAAGTGCAGTGATGGTGTCAATGTGCGAGCCATGTGTGTTCGTTCGCTGTACCCTCGACCGTTTTCGCTTCAATGCGAGGCCGGGCTATTGACCGGCGAGGTCAATATGACAGGTGCCTGATGCTGGCGAGAACCGCTGGATGCCTCATCCAACGACGAAGGCAATGACGGGGAAATGAGTGTGGGTAGGGGTGGTCTTGAGCTGGTGATGCGTGAGCTCACGCTGTCCAGGCCCGTCGAGTCCAATAAGCTAATATGCCATTTTGGTCATTTTCCTTTGGAAAGATTTGGTGGTTGTCATATTGACTACCGCTCGTAGTGGATGGCAGCTCATCTTGCTGATGTGGAGAAGATGCGAGGAAGAGGTCTGAGCGGGACATGGAAGGATGCGTCGGTTGGGGTCACTGGAAAGTACAAGCCACTACGCACGTGACATTGTGCCACAGAGTGTCTCTAAAATGAACCAATCAGGAGTACAGACAACACCAAGAGCGGGAGAAATCCCCACCTCTCCATTTTCAAGCCACACGCTCTTCATCGAACTGTTGTAAACATTCAGTGTCAGCCATGCATCGACATCATCTCGGAACTCGTGGCAGGCCACCATCCCCCAGGCACAGAACTTCACTCATTGGCCTTCGGACAAGTGGACGCTTTGACGTGTCTCAGAAGAGACTTCAATATACTCTCTCTTTCTTAATTCCATCGATTTTTCAGACCATGATCGTCAATCGCACTTCATGGAAGGAATCAGTGCACAGTCTAGTGTAGTGTACTTTGTACAAGCAGTCACTCACGGCGGCCCCGAAACGGAACGGCGGACGCTAACCTGATCAATAACCTGGCTCTCTACCACCAGACGACAAGATGAACGTCTCGGTTTCGCGATTTCGATCCCGGGCCGTCAAAGATGGAGTCAGGTAACTAGAGTTTCAGCACTCAACGGCTTTTCAGCGGCGGTCCGGCGGCGCCAAAGGCTACACCTGGACTTGGCCGCTTGACCAGGGAATCACTACACGTCTTCAACCTCCATTTCACGGTTGAAGGCACTCCAGGATCTCGTCAGTTTAGTGTTTTACAACAATATGCTGCACCTCAGGCACCTAGGTTACCGTGTACCTTGGCTAACCAGTAATCAAATTAGGCCGTACCCGCAGAGTCGTTGTCAGCTAAAACCAGAATGTAACTGAATGACCACCAAATGCTGCATTTCATGATGGCCAGGACGACGGTGAACTTCTCTGAAAA